ACAAATCCCTACTTTGGCTCCATGTCTATAGTACTTATCAATTTTAGTGAAGTGTACCTAGTGCAGGAGTTTTCTGTTGTTTTTTAAATAGGTTTGCCCAGATTTGAATAAAATATTCATAGCCATTTTTTCTGTAGGCTTATGAAACAAGAATTTTGTGAATAATAATAATAATATGAAAAACAAATGGATGATGACATAACTTTGTCGAAACGTTGTACATTTGCTGTTAGGTTATGACTTATTTTTCTTTAAAAGGGCAAAGTCTTTGTGAATTATCTTGTATACAGTCGATTGGGATGTATGCAACTCGTTAGCAATCCCTTTCTGGGTGCGAGTTCGTGGACAAGCTTTAGCAATGATAGTGGTAATCCTGCTTGTGGTGGGATTTTGTGTGTGGTTTTATTCCTCGTGTAACTGTGCTGTCTTCATTTGCTGGAGCTGCTTACTACATTATATATAGTATTTGGTTTTAAGCACAAAGCTATACAATGGGCTATAACCACCACGATTATCGAAACCCGGTTTTTATCGGTGTGAGTCCGCTGAGCCACTGAAGGGTTATAAACAGTCAATGAAATTGTTGTGGTTCAGGATTTAATTTTTTTTTTGTTATTTCGCTACACATTAGACTATGATCTTTAAACTCCAGTAATAAGTTTATACGTTACGACATACACTGTTGAATGATCGGGAATTCTCTGAAAGGTGCTAAACGTATCGTCCATGGCGCCACGGCTAGCAGTTGCGGCGACATGCCACCTTAAGTACATCTTATAAACTGCGACTGACTTTTCATTATATGATATGGTTGGTCAACAGGAAATAACTTAGCTTTTTTTTCTCAATACTCTTGGTATGTTTAATAAGTACATCGCACTTGTCATTCATGAACTTTACTCATATTGGTAAAATATCTATATAATATCTGTCAATCTGAAACGCAAGACCCTCAGTGGCATAGCGGTATGTCTGCGGACTTACAGTACTAGAAACCGGCTTTCGATACCCGTGGTGGGCAGACCACAGATAGCCCATTGTGCAGCTTTGCGCTTAGCTACAAACAAACTGAAACGCAAAAGACATATGAAATACATGTAGCATAATTGTCACTGTAGATGTTGCAAACACCAAAAATGGCACGTGTGTTTATGACACATATCATATACATAAGTACTGAGTTAGTGTTAGCTGAAATTGAAGGCAAGTCACGTGGAACGTTTCATCATATTTACCTTTATACTGATACATGTGTATTATTTTGGTACGTGTGTTCATAATGATATGCATCTACAGTTTAATCTAGTGCAGATGTATGCAGGTATGATCATACGAGTATGTGTGCACGTGCATTCCTCGTGTACTAAACACTAGCAAGTATTTTAAAATAATTGTTTTTTTACAGCGTTTTGATTTTATTAATTTCTCGTCACTACTTATATTACAGGGATGCTCTCTAATAACTACATATATTATACAGTGCTGATCTTGTGAGTACGAAACAGTTATTGTAAAGAAAAACGTAATGTTTAGCGTATGTCGTTTTTTTTTAATACCTGTTTGCCCCTGAAGGTCCACCTTTCGAAAGCGCTCGGGTTATGGGTTTTTTTATTCTGGATGAATGATCGTCATAGACTTTTCTGTAACCTCTGTCTGTCCTTTGTCATTTGGTGACTTAGCTTTCTGTCTTCGTTAAATAATAAAATTGTTTTTATTTTTCTCGGGTCCTGAAGTTCATAAAACAAAAGACCTTACTTAGAGCACTTGGTCCAAAAGTTTGTTTAAGCTAACGTTATCGAAGGGTGAAGTTCACTAAATACAACATTTTATTTAAGTTAAATAAATCAGTATCTATCTCTATATATATCTTTAAAATTCTATATAATTTATTTTTATATATTAAATTAAACTGGGAGTAAAACCCTGTTTCGCATATATCCTAAACAGTTGTATAGCCAAGAAACTAAAAAACACAATCTACATTTTTCTACTGGCAATATCTGGTCAGCTTCAAAATAATATACTGCAGATTGTCTTTCTAGAATTCATATTCATTATTGTAATGTCGCAGGAGTTTTAGTCGAGTGTAGTATGAATTTCTTCTTATCCATTTGTGTGTGTGTGCTTCGTTTGTTTATTCTAAAGCAAAGTCAGAATGGGCTATATGCTGTGTCTACCGCGGGGGAATCAAACCCCGGATTTTAGCTTTGTACGTTTGTAGACTTTCCGCTGTCCTCGGTGGACGCGTGTGTGTGTGCATAGCCTCAAGTTTGTCTCATCGGTGCTTGTTCTCCGTCTTCAGTTTTGTGTATGAATTGTTGTACATGTGTTCATTACCTTATTGTTTCAGTTTTACTAAACATGTTCACTTTCTTACCTCGTGCTTAACTTGGCTTAAATCTTCGTGGATATGCCTATATTATAAAAATTAAGTGATATGAGAATCAGTGAAGCTCACGTGATTTTAGATACACAAAGAACCAATTAAAAGCACTTATAGATTCAAAAGAGTCAACAAAGGTAGTTAAGTTTGATACATTGGATTTGAATCGAATAATTTTTAATGTAAATATCAAAAAATAAGCATAAAATGAATTTTATTACAGAGAAAAATTTTAAATGTAATGTTACTGTAAAAAATTTTTTAGAATGATAGAAATAACATAAAATGCATTTTTAAATTCTCATTTAGTAACTTAGTTACACGTGATGTTCTAAGGAAATGTCCTATTATAAAATAGTGTTCTCTTTTTGTTACTAATGAAAACCATCTGAAACTTTGTATTGTTAGTTTCGGTTTGTGTTTTAGTGAACGCTCTTGGAGAAACTGTAAAGCGAAACGTTGAGTGTCTAATTAAATAAAAACAACATTTTGGGGGCATAAAACCGTTTATTTCTAGTATTAATATGTATTCTATACACCAATATGCACAACAGAAAGTAAATAATTTATCATGCTGTCTCTTCATTAGCAATTTTCATCCATGAGATGAGCTGTTAGGAAAATAAAGTGCGTGGGAAACATTGAGCAAAGTAAAAACTCATGATTTAAAAAAGAAGAAACTTGTCACAGTCAATAATTAGTATGTTTATTAAACACATACACCAAACTGAAAATGATATCACTCATAGCTTTTGTTTTTATATATATAGCGAGCGTATTATATGTACATGTAGAGGATCTGTATATGGATTCCTGCTTGAACAACAGCTCAGCTACTTTACATCAAACCTGCCGCTTGGAGCGGTGCCGTCAAACTAATTATACCTTTCGGGTTGATATTGTTTTTAAGCGCAAAGATACACTGTGAGTTATCTGCACTCTGTCTAGGTTAGATTAAAGCAGTTTCACCAAAACACAAGTTCATTACTAGGTTAGATTAAAACAAGTCTACCAACACACAAGTTCATTACTAGGGTAGATTAAAGCAAGTCAGTCTACAAACACACAAGTTCATTACTAGGTTAGATTAAAGCAGTTTCACCAAAACACAAGTTCATTACTAGGTTAGATTAAAACAAGTCTACCAACACACAAGTTCATTACTAGGTTAGATTAAAGCAAGTCAGTCTACCAACACACAAGTTCATTACTAGGTTAGATTAAAGCAAGTCAGTCTACCAACACACAAGTTCATTACTAGGTTAGATTAAAGCAAGTCAGTCTTCCAACACACAACTTCATTACTAGGATAGATCTTACTTCATACGTACTTATGTGATCTAACACCATAAGCTATTAGGTAAGAATATTACCTTACATCTATTTACGTGATTTAACGTCCTAAACTAAATGAGAATAATACATTATATCAAATTATCTGAATTAACATTCTAAATTATTAAATTGGAATATTACCTTCTTATCTATGTATCTGATATAACATCCTAAGCTATTGTTACCTCGTATGTGTTTATTCAATCTAACGGTCTAAGTTAGTAGATTGAAATGTTTTAATTCATACTGTGTCATTTACTATAAAATTCTAAAGTATTAAAAAGGGAAGGTTACCTCATACATATTTATGTATTATAACATCCTAAACTATTAAATTTTACTGTTACTTCATACATGTTTACTTAATCTAACACTCTAAGCTAGTGATTTCCGTGGAACTCCAGGGTTTCAGGAAAGGTCATCAGAGGTTTCCCACAAAGATAGCAGGTAATAACCGTTGTTGCTTATTCAGTTATTGAGGGTTAATCCGTCAGATCCCAAATGTATATTTAGGAATCATGAGTCACTTGATATGAATTATAATATTTTTGTATATTTATTTACAATTTTACATAAACAATACTTGGACAACTTCATCTAGGCTAGGCTTTAAGGGTTGGGGTTCAATGACAGAAGGAATGCAATAAAAGGGTTCCATGGCTTCGTAAAGTTTGAAAACCACAGTTATAAGTTATTGAATAAGAATGTTGCCTCCAAAGTATTTATATGATCAAGCATAATAAAATACTAAATTCTAATGTTACCTCATATCCATTTGTCAAATCTAACATCTTAAGCTATTAGATTGTGTTACTTCATATCTATTAATGAGATCTAACATCATAGACCATTAAATGAAATGTCACCTTATACCTCTTTGTATGATCTACCATCCTAAACTATTGAATTGGAAGGTTACATCATATCTATTTGTGTGATCTAACATTCTCAACTATTATGTTTTAATAATGTTGTCTCATATATATTTATTTCATCTAATATCCTAAGCTGTTGTATAAGAAAGTTAATTCATATTCATTTGTTTATTGCATCTGTTTAAGCTAATTAAATTACTTTGTGACTTAGCGAGGATTTTCTTGATCTCAAGACCATAAAGTATTTAACGTTCTTTTCAAAAGTACTTTTATCTAACACTTATTTATATGATATCTAAAGTCAAAAACATTAAGTTCAAGAATTTGACCCTGAACATGACTTTCATTTAGTTAATATCAGTCCATATTTCTGTAGTATTGATATTAACATGTGTTGTTGTTTACAGGTTTATGATGGTGTTCATGTGTTTGGTACTAAGTGTATTCTCCACTATTAACGACTTTGAGGAAGTTGCCAGTGCAATACTATTTAGAATGGTAAGTCACAAAGATTTGGCTCTATAATTCTTTATGTGGTTTAGTAAAATCCTTTATCTACATATAAAAAGTTTTAATCGCAACGTAAATAGACTAGATATTATGAAAATTTGACCATGACTTAAACATTTGTTGCAGAAACGAAAACGAAAATATCCATCTGAAAATGTAGTCATGACGGATTACTTATATGTGATTAATATTTAAATATCTATACCTTTCATTCACAATATATGTACTAAGGTATTGTGTGCTATAAGATAAATCATTGGACAGTTCTCGTACGTACTAAGCACTGTGAAAGTTTAGATTATTTTGTAATTAGTTTAATTTAAAATGATTAACACTAACACGAAGAATTCTTTAATGAAATTAAACTTAGATATATATCAATAAAATTAAACTTAGATATATATATATATATATCAATAAAATTAAACCTAGATATATATATATATCAATAAAATTAAACCTAGATATATATATATCAATAAAATTAAACCTAGATATATATATCAATAAAATTAAACTTGGATATATACTATTAAATCAATGATTTTAAGCAAAAGTGCTTGAATATAATTTGTAAAATGTATAACTGAAATAGGAAATATTATCGACTATTCATAGGTTATGGTTATCGATAGAATTTATGGTTTAATTGATTTAAACTATTTACTTAATAGAATATCAAACTAACAAATCATAATTCACTTTAACGTGGGATTTCTAACATTAAATCCAAGTTATCAAATAATATAAAAAAATTAAAACATCTACATTAATATACTAGACGTACTTGTAAAGAGACCCCGAAAGTGTTCTGTTTCAAGAGTAACAAATATTTTTATTTCTTGCTTTTCAAGTTCATATGTGATGCTGCGTTATAGCCTATAAAATGCATAATTCTTCTCGTGATTCATGGCATACGCACGTTTTACTGACATCACGGCAGTACAAATTGCAACGTTAAGCGTCCCTTATTTGACGTCATTTTAGTGTCTACTGACTGACTGCCAGACAACACATTACTGTATAATGGTGCGAATGGTTAAAACTGGTGACCCCTCCGGGTGGCCTTCGGCCCCTTTAAGGGAATTTATGCAATGTTAAACGGCTGTAAGAAAGCTCGTCGACCAAAATTTTGCGTAATTAGTTGGGTGTTGGAATCTTAATTATGAAATATGTTAATTGAAGTAATCTGGCTAGTTGGCTGTTTTAAAGTAACTCCTAAGAGATAAAAGAAAAATGTAAAAACATCTAAATGAGTAAGTAAAATACATTAACAGATTGAAGCCCAGAAAACAAAGTGAAACAAAATGGGTCGAAATAATTGAAGGAAACGCAGTATATATATATATATAAGAGATAAAATATTACGCAGCAATAAAAGTATTATAGTTGAAAAATACTTTAACGGAAACCTGAAACCGACGATTCACTAGCAGCTTCGATACTGTTTGTTCATACAAACTCCCGATAATGAATTGTAAATCAAATCATGGAAATATTAACGCAGTAGAAACCTAGTAACCTAGTGATAGATTGGTTTAACTGCCGAAACAGGCTTTTGGCGTTTAAACTCTAACATTTAAAGTATTATACTGTATATATATGAATACTTTCTTAGACTCTTTTATCACTCACCATCCAGCCCAACTGATGAGTTCTGGAGGAATGTGGCAAAAAACAAACAAACAGTAACAACAACAAACATCTGTAGTTAACTTGTTTTTAAAGTGACAGATTGATAACAGTTACTGAGCTAATGTTAAAAAAGCGTAAATACTAATACAGATGTTTTTATTGATTAGTGACATATTTGTTGTTGATGTTAATAATACCCAGCTAGGATTTGAATTAGATAAAGGATGATACAGATATTTTTATTGATTAGTATTATATTTGTTGTTTATATGAACTAATAATTTTGAATTAGGATTTGAATTATGGATGAAATGACACAGACATTTTTGTTGACTAGGGACGTATTTGTAATTCTGAGTTAAGAAGATCTTAATTATGTAAAGATTGATGCAGACATTTTTCTTGATTGTTAATTTATTTGTGGTTTATATAAACTAATAATTTTGAATTAAGGTTTGAATTAGGTAAAACTGATACAGATATTTTTGTTCACTAGTGGCGTATTTGTTGGTGATATAAACTGATAATTCTGATAACAAATATGTAACTAGTTAACAAACATGTCTGTACCATTTAGTTCGTAATTCAAATCCTAGCTAACAAATATGTAACTAGTTAACAAACATGTCTGTACCATTTAGTTCGTAATTCAAATCCTAGCTCACAATTACCAGTTTATATCACCGTAATCCAAATCCTAGCTCAGAATTACCAGATTATATCACTAAAGACTGAAAGACATTTTTAACTGGCGAATTATAGGAATTCTCATAAGTTTATAGTAATTAATTCGCATTATTGGCTGCTATATATTTTTTACAAACATTTTGAGTAGTGACGATTTCAATTACCTTGTGGTGTTATCGAAGAGATGTAAATGTTTGATAACTTTTTCTTTTTACAGGAAGTAGTGATGATCGTATGGTTTACTATAGAGTTCTTCCTCCGCCTCTGGTCAGCTGGCTGTAGATCACGTTACCAAGGTCTGTTAGGTCGAATAAAGTTCCTGCGTAGTCCTTTCTGTGTGATAGGTGTGTATCAGCTTCAGCGGACGATTTCAGATTTTTTTTTTTCCGTCTAGTCTGAAAAGTATGATTGTCGTAATAACTTCAATATAGGTCAAATTGACTTAACTAGTGCTGTATATTAACGATTTATTATCATCTTGTACAGAAACAACACTAACCACATCCAACTTTTTTCAGATATTATTGTTATTGCCGCTTCTTTTGTGGTGATAGCCATGGGAAGTAGCGGCCAGGTATTCGCCACTTCTGCCCTACGTGGTCTCCGTTTTTTCCAGATTCTACGGATGGTACGGATGGACAGAAGGGGTGGCACATGGAAATTGCTGGGATCAGTTGTGTATGCACACCGTCAGGTGAGTTTTCTAAAACAAAACAAAACAAAACAAAAAACATAAAGTAAATTAATTTTAAACGAAGATGGGAGAGAGTTTTAAATTTGAAAAATAAAAATGTCCTTAAAAACTTGTATCATGGGTGATATTATCATCACGCTAGCTCAGAAACAAATATATATACACATTACCATAGGAAGTGAGGGTGTATCCCCCAAAACTTGTAGGTGGGACCCTTTGTATGTAACCGCATTTCTAAAAAAAAATAATAAAAAGTTGAAAGAGACAGAGATTTTGTATGTGTTTCAATGCAAATCTACAAATGGGCTACCTGCCTGTGTCCATCATGAAGATCGACCCCGACTGTTACCGTTGTAGGCCCTACGTTACAAATAACGTTAATTAAAGTAATATATACCAATTTATTTGTGCAACGAAACTGCTTTAGCTAACACACTGACTATTTCTCTCTCTATCTTGAAAAACTCTACACACTTCACAACTATCTCGTATTTCTAATCTAACTTCGAATATTCTTGAAAACGTAACGTCACATCCTCCTAGGTTTCTAGGTGTTCTACGCCCTCTAGTTAACAAATTAGAACATTCAAATATAGCTTATAACAATAAAATAAAATGTTATGATTAAGAGTTGCCTTAAGTAATGTATCCACTAAACAGATCAAGTCACATTTCTTGGAAACATTGATTAAAAAAACAAGCAAAAACTTAAGAAGGGACGTTTAAAGCTACTTCGACTTATCTTTGACATAGTAGAGTCACAATTTAAACGAATCATTAACTGTTCTTTAATTAATAATGGGAATATTCTAAGAGGATTACGGCAAAAAACGCCTTTGTGACAATTGGAAATTTTTTTTAGTTCAAGAAAAGGACTGCTGATAACGCTTTCTATTTGATCGTATAATTAAATCTATCACATTCCAATCTTGCATTTCTGTCTAAATTGATTGCTTAAAAGTAAAGATGATCTAATATAGATTGTGGACTTAAAGAATACGTTGGTCAATAGAATTCAAATCATAGACACTTTCACACTAATAGAGTTTGTGAGCGAATTTCGCTGCAATTTATTGTGCATAATAAACAATATTTAAAACTAGTTCAAAAGACACGATTCTTCTAAGGTCCAGTTTTATAACAGATCTCAATTTGTTCTGAAAACCTTCGAGATGAAAGATTTGGTTAGGATGTACACACCTTCAAAAGAGCTGTTTCTCTCAGATGTAACGTTCATTAAATGGAAAGATTTTTCTGATAACGAGAGTAATTTTTCTTTTAACATTTTCTTGATTTTTAGGAGCTCATTACTACACTCTACATCGGGTTTCTAGGTTTGATTTTTTCATCATTCTTAGTTTACCTTGCCGAAAAGGATCAAAAACCCACCAACTTTACTAATTTTGCCGATGCTCTTTGGTGGGGTGTGGTAAGTAGAACTTAGATTTTGGGGCATTAGAACTTACCGTTGTATTACAGAAAAATTAAGCGATTAATAATTATTCAATAAATATTAAAACTATATAAGAACCATATCCATTAGAATAAAAATCAACTAACATTTGAAACTTTAATAATACTTAAAAAACCGTTATTTATTTCAAATTACTTTGTGAACCTAACTCAGAATTATTACAAACTGAAAATAAATATCTTTTTGACTTTAAAGGTCCCTTTTTTTAATCAATAATGCTAAAACAGAGAGTTAATAAATGATAAGTCCGGATAACATCCTGAGAAGTAAGCCAATAGAACAATAAATAATTAGTGACTAGTGTTTTTGCAAAAGACGTTTTCTAAAGATATAACAGTGTTATTTCTGTCGATGTTTTAGATAACATTGTGTACGGTTGGATATGGTGACACTGTTCCTACAACTTGGCCAGGGAAGATTATAGCAGCGTTCTGTGCTTTGCTTGGCATCTCTTTCTTTGCTCTTCCTGCGGTACGTGCCATGTATAATGTGGTGTAAGAGGTAGTTAGAAGTATGCAATATTTTACTATCTAATTAAAAAGACAGTCTTAAGTGATCAGTGTTAAACCAATAAACGTTATTAAAGTTTGATGAATAGAGATAAATCATTACATGAGAAGGAATTTTTAAATATCAACATTATAAACAAGACAGAATGCAAAGGTAAGTGATCAAATTCAAAAAGCATAAGGAAGTTGAAACTAGCGTCAGAGAATGAAATAACCTTTGATCAGTGTAACTTATACAAATAAATTAGATTTAAATTTGCAAATCATAAAATGATAAAATACAAAATAACATATATTAATATTCTTGACCCCCTTTCAACAAACTAAAACATAGAGTAATGAACAACTGTTGTGTGACTGTTTTAGCTATTAAAACTAACCTATGGAACATTTTAAATTATTTTATTCATATAATGTCTTTCCCCCTGTTCGTTATTATTATTTTCCTAGTAAATAATTTTCTAGTGTTTGGTTTTAATGACTTCATCTTATAATATACATCCTACTAATCAGTTAATATACTCTATTTCCAGAAAGAATGACATTTTATTAAATAAACAAACATGAAGCAAAAGGTACAAGGTTACCTATAGTATCAATGAATCTGCCTTTTGCAATTTTAAAGGAGTTACCAGTTCTACTTAGAAGATATGAAATCTGGACCTGGGATTGTATCACACTCTATAAGTCAGTTATTTGGAACACTTTTGTTGAGAACGATCACAGATGGGCCAAACATGTCCGATAGGATTCATATCTTATGCCCTGTTCAATCGTTTAGTTACTCCGGTTGAGCAAGCAGGAGCCTCAATCTTACATGAAATTACTGCCTTGTTCAGTGAGCCTGTCATCAGCGTGAACAGGTAGAAAGCCTTACTCGAGAATTTTGATGTATTAAGCAGCAGTGGTCGTCCATTCGCATACTATCAGCTGTGATCGTCCAGCTACCCAAATGGAACCCGCACCATATAAAGAATATAGCCGTATTTTATCATGAAAGTTCCTGGGAGGATGGTTGCCAAAGCCATGTGCTTCCACTATCCGAGAATTGTGATGTACTAAGCAGCAGTGGTCGTCCATTCGCATACTATCAGCTGTGATCGTCCAGCTACCCAAATGGAACTCGCACCATATAAAGAATATAGCCGTATTTTATCATGAAAGTTCCTGGGAGGATGGTTGCAAAGCCATGTGCTTCTACTATCCGAGAATTGTGCAAATATGGACTCTACAGAAAAATTTATAATTCACAAAAGGTTGGAAGGTGTGATAATATGCAATATACCTTCGTTGTTGTCTTGCGATATTAGTTGGAGTGAGGAGTGGCTTCGGCTTACCTACTTTACCATTGTAGCCCATGTTATTTAGACAACGTCTAATGATATTAGGGCACACTTACACCTGTCTAGCAACAACAGTATCCATTTTTTGTAGGTTATCCTGTACACTTTTCCTCCGAACGTGAAGAGTCCGTTCTATTGGTTTTAGGCTCCAGAACCACGGAGAAACTATAGTTTCTAACGTTATTGGAACCTTATTATTATCCTATTCACTATGAACACCAGTATTGCAAGTGACCTGGCGATTTCTAGTTAACATTTACCAACCTCCACTGTTGAGCTATGGACCTCGTGAAAATATAGTTAATTCCCAAGATCTTTTTGTTTGTATTAATATTATAGCTGTGTTTTTTACCAAACTGTGACTGTATTTATACGTCAGACTTATTTGTGTTCTCGAGGCTTTCTTTTCATTCAGTGGTTAAGCCGTTTGTATGAATCTTACTTAACTTTACATTATACAACTCTGAATTATATCAAGTCACTAGGCATAATTCTTATTTATATTAAAATCCTCCATTGTTTCTAATTTGATTATCTACCACTTTTTGTGGTTGTTTACAGTATGTAGTCAGATTTTCTTTATGTTATTATAATGGAGAGATATGTACATACATATGTGCAGGGTTTTGCTGAACAAAATTGAAACTTCTGTCCAACAAGGTTTATTGAAACGTCGGACCACCTTGACTTTTTTCGGGACAACATTAATTTAGTCTTTCAGCAGGATATTGGAAGTTTCGGAGAGGGTTTTGGAGCAATCAGGCTATGTCAAAATCTAGTTTTGATCAAAGATTTTATCTGGATAGTTAATTGAAGACTTTCTAATATTCTCAGTAACTCACACTACAACAACTGTTGCAGAATAGATAGGTGCATTGTCTTTTTGAAAGACGCCCTCTGTTGTGGGATAGTGTTGCATCTTAAAATAAACCTCATTTAATGTAGTAAGTAACTGTTGTTCTGAATCTCAGAGCAAAGATTGGATCAAGCTCATGCCAATAACGTACAGCCTACTCAATAACAATACCGCCTACGCTATTTACAACTAGGAACAAACACTTGAGGGTGTACTCCTTCTTCTGCCATTTCCGTACTTACCCATGTACATTTGACGGTAGAAATGATTTATACTGACTTGTTTGGCCATATAATCATTCGTAACAGTTTCTAAGTCTGCAGTCTGGAATTTGACATTGCACAAATGCATGATCAAATGTTTGTTTCTTGTAGTGATGAATTACGTATGTACAACTTTTCTAATGCAATAGCCCTCTTAAACTGGTTACTGCTATCCAACATTAGACTCTGAACATATTTTGTTTCTGTTGCGCTCGTGTTCCATTTTGCAATGTGCTCAAAGTGCAATGATTCCTATCACGCAAGACAGTCTTCTTGCCATGTTGCACTTCTTTTCATTTACGGTTATACTAGTTGGTGTCTATGTTTCGCCGTTTTTTGCTGTTGTCATTCACACAGCAACAATACATGCAGTCTTCATCACAAATGCAACTGTGAAACTAGTCCGTACTTATAACTATTTATAATGTGTTGTTAGATCCTTCCTGAAAGACATGATGAATGAAACTTAAGCAAAACAACGATGGATAGTCTTCCTATACAAAAATTTGGAACGGTGGGAATGACTTTGCATTTAATAAGCAGGTTTGTCTCCCTGTGGGAATGGAGCTCAGAACCATATTGAAACAAGCAGGTTTTTTTCTATTTTTTTGAAACTTTATATATATGCACTGATCAGGATTCTTTTACCCCCTTATAGTGCGTTGAACCATCATTCATCATGACATAGGCGCTATACATCATGGAAAATTTATTATTTTCTATAGATAATTCTTCCAGGAGTATGATCTATAAATATCAGTACTGGCTTATAGTGATCAATGCGACATTCGAGTTCATCCCATGCACACTCTGTTGGATTGAGACCAGCTGAGTGTGCTTCTCAAGGAAGACAAGTCACTGCTGAATTCCTTGAACTAATTCTAGACTAAGTTAGCACAGTGTATTGTTGTATTATTGGTTTACACGAACTCCTGTTCATTAGAGTGGAAAATTCAGGTACTTTTGGCATGTTATTTGCCATTCTAAAGAAACTAAAAAACCCAAATATTACCACGAGAAATTTCCTCAGCATCTAGCATGTTTGAAAATGACAACAGAGTCGAGCATTTCAAGATCTTTTACTCCATAATCCACTTCAAAGTCAGTGGAGAAAAGGATGAAACGCAACTTATATCACACTACACATCCAGTCATTTATCTATAGTTTTTGGTCTACGTACCTATGAATATACGCTCTCCTATTTGCATTTCAAATGAAATGTTCTAACTAATGTTAAAGAAAAAGGGCAATCGTGAGTGTAATCTATCGTTTGTTGCACTTTATAAACGTGTACAACCGTCTTTACCTTCAGTTTGTCCCCATAGGTTATCAGCCATTGTTTTCCTAGAGGCATATGTAATTTCATTCGATTTCAATAGCCCAAGGCCTTTTATAACAGATATCTTTGAGTAGCCAGTCAATGAAACGTACTTTGAAAGTGGCTCGTCTGTTATACGGGGCATCCTCTCTCACGACCTTTTGCAAGTCAGAGTGTTTCTTATTCTTATTCATTATTTTGCAGACTAACTATGATATAATTTCAGATGTACAAAAACAAGGCACCGACAAGTTCTTCAGACATCACGTGAACGGTCTATTCTGCATATACACATAATAAAAATGTAGATATATAAATAAATAAATAAATATACGTGCGTCAAGCATACATACGTAATAAAACGCCTTAAGTAAATAAAACATTCATGGAATATTACATGTGCAAAATTTTTATTTTCATAAACCCCCTGGAGCATTTCCGTAAAATAAAAACATTATTTTCAGATCGTATATATATATATATTAGAAATTTAACTTTGTAATTCTCTACTAAAATATGTATGTTAATTTACTTATATAAGCCCCAGTTATTCAAGGTTAAGATAAGAAATATGTTAAAAGTTTTAAAAAGAAAGCAAACCGTGAGATGCGGAAATAACAGAAATAGATTACTTAGTGCAAGAGAAGTTGTACAGACATAATCATCACTAAAAGCATTTCACACTCCATAAGCCCCAAGTGGTATAGCGGTATGTCTGCGGACTTACAATGCTAGAATCCGGATTTTGATACCCGTGGTGGGCAGAGCACAGATAGCCCATTGTGTAGCTTTGTGCTTAATTACAAACAACAACAAACTCCATGTGTTGATTTTTTATTTTGAATATTTTCTAACATTGCAAAGAGTAAATATGACCTGTTTTATTTAATGTCGCAAACTTTCATACTCAAGACAAGATTGAGGCTGAGAAGGATTCGAACCCGTACTCAACATCAATAATTTAATCCTGGTTCTTTCTTAGTTTTCTGCTCTTTAATAAAACTCTGAAAACTTTTGCTTCAACTTTTACTACAAGGTCAACTGGGCAATAACTTTTAGAATTAATGCAACACAAATGTAGAATTTAGATTTCCGTTTGTTTCAGTATCAATAGTTTTTCATCCTTACGTTAATATGATATCTAAATACGATTTTGAAAATTTGTAAATATACAGTGCTTGCATTTTTGTTCATGATAGGGAATTATGGGATCCGGATTAGCTTTAAAAGTACAACAGCAACAAAGACAGAAACACATGATTCGGAGACGAGCCCCAGCTGCCACGCTTATCCAGTGCCTGTGGAGGTGCTACGCAGCAGACGAAAACTCAATGTCTGTAGCTACCTGGAAAATCCACCAGGTGCCAATTCCAAGTTCACCTCCGTGAGTGCATGATGAAATACTCTTTTAATTTTAAATCGTAACTTATTACAATATAGAAACCTTTGAAGGAAGTTCTTACTAATGTCTGATATCCAGTTGCACATATTCAAAGATTGTTTTGGAAAGAACAATTTTCAGTCCTGTGTTGTTGTTTTTTGTCTTCTTTACATTCAGATTTTCGTATCAGAAATCATTTTTGTTATTATCGTTATTCTTCTTCATATTGCTTTGTCCACATAACTACACTTTTATGTTAATTAAGAACTTTTATGTGAAAAGCATTAACTGATTCTTCTCCACTAATTTTATTTATAATTTAATCGTTGTGCAATACAAGCTTTTCTTTTGCATTTTCTGCGATTTTCTAAGATGTTTGGAATATATTATTGCTCACATGGAAGTTTCTTTTTATACCGTTTTTTAGCAACTCATTTTAATTCTCTAATTTCATCAAAACGTAACAATAAACTCGGGTTCCCACCTGGTGGGGGACTCATCAAGAAGTCATGCTGTGCTTCACAAAATATCTATAAACTAAAATCAGGAAATAGTAATTTAACAATAACTAAATTAAAATATTTAAAATCTAATACAATAACTCTCAAACATAAAGTGTTTCGATAAAGGAGTACAGCCTAATATCTTGATTGTTTATAGGATGTCACGGAAATGTGCGCCAGATAAACAAACAAGACCAGCTTTTGCGACCGTAACAGCGTAAATTAATGAAATACAAAATAAAGTTACATACAGAGTACGGTCAGCCTTTGTACTCACTGGATACCCTTTAAATGTCTGCTTAATTCAACAGATAATGGGCGAAAAATGGCATAACATAGTAGTGTATGTTCTTGTTCTAATCATGAAAACACTGTGTTAAATCAAATAGAGTTGTACGAGCTTGGGACAACGTATAACAATAGGGTAAGTTTTTGTTTTCCCCCAAAAAACCTAGATTATATCGAGTCCGGAATAGTGTAACATAACAAGGCAAGTCTTTGTGATCCCTATAAACCCATATTTTATATCAAATCCGGAATAGTGTAGCATAGTAGAACAAGTCATTGTGATTCTAATATTATCTATAGCAAGCGTGGAATAACACAGCAATAGGGACAACCTTCATAATATTGATAAAAATATAATTCTTATAATTTTAATACAAACACGGAATATCGTAACCCAATATTACAAGTCATTATGATCAACATGACATAAACATGAAATATTGTAACATTATATGAGAACTGCTTGTGCTCCAAATAAACCACATACTCCGAAACAAACGTGAAATTGAACATTAGTTCTTGTGATATAATAATTTGTGTAATCTACTTTACTTGTTTACTAAACAAGTGGGTGTCTTTCGAGTTTAACCTTACCTCAGAAATGATAAAAACTCTACAGACGCCAGCTGGTTTTTAACTCGTTATACTTAGAGCACGAATCTGAGTTGAACATTGGATGTTTGTAAAAAATATATATTTTCACACCATAAGACTACTAAAACAAGCACGTTGAGATTCTTGTGTACATCACAAGTCCTTTACAAATCTATCTATCTCTGGTTGTTTACCTGACTGTCAATATCTGATCGTTTCCCCGCACGGTTTTCATTTCAGTATTTCTAATATTATCTATCTGTCTCCTTCATATTCAAATTGGAATCTGATGATTCAAGAAAATACTGAAAGCTATAATCTATCAAGTTTTTAAAAATTCTTACCGTGCATCAAGATATTTGTTTCTTTATAGTCCTTTTGAAAATGACATGGAAAATACTTTTATACCTGTGTATATGGTGATAATTACTAGACATAGTCGAGTAGTAGCTCAGAATTTCTGTGCACCAAAATATAATATTAATTAAGTAGTGCGACCGAACTCTGGTGTGCTGTACTAGACCCAGTAAAACTTAGGCCTTTACCTTTGATAAAAGTCTAAACAAGAAATATTTCAATAATTTCAACTTCTTCGCTACAACACTCCAATAACGTTTTCCTCGACTGTTGAATATTTAGGCATCACATTTGAGAATAAATCCACTTGGAACCAACATGACTTAACTACAAAATTCGCTAAATGATTATTGAACTGTACTTAGATAAAAATCAAAGATAGTTTCGTGGTTGAAACTTCTCTACAGTTTATACAGCACAAAATATAACTTTGAGGGCTTATAATACTACAATTCGTAGTTCTATACCCGCCGTGGGCACAGCGCAGGCAATCCATTATGTTGCTGTGCGCTTAATTCAAACAAATAAAAAACATAAAATAACTCACGGATTTCCCATGCAAATATTCGATGTCTAATGTTGCATTTCAAAAGCTTCAAACACAGCAAAGCAATGCTATTAGAATTGCTTTCTGTCTCCCGTTATACACTATGCTAGCCATCTTGAGTAATCTTCTAGCATTCTTACAGCCAGCCTTAGTGTTTTTTTAACTAACCCTAAGTTTATACAAAAAAAGCTACCAATCGAAATCCACTTTCACAACAACTCGTATCTATAGCAGTAGCCCCAGTTTCCTGGCAAACAATATCGCTCACGTACGATTTAATTCACAACATTTATACGCCTTCATTACATTCTTATAGATAATATAAGTTGGTTTTAGTTAGATGAGAGTGGATGAAGAGAGATTTTATTTCTGATCGCTCGTAGGTAAATTTTTCACAAAATACCAAAGTAAAAAAGAGAGAGAAAGAAAGAAAGAGATTATTACATAAAATCACTTCGAATGCATGTATACAGAACAACTCACGATTAGTGCATTCACACCCAATAAGTGTATGTAATATCTCGTAAGCATATTTAGTAGCTTACGATTATTTTATAAACACAAAGGAAACATACGTAATAACATAATGTGTGTTTCTACGATTTTTGATTACACATGTAATAAGCGTCTAATATTAAACATATGTAATAAGCATGTGTAGTAGCTCACGATTACTATATGACACACGACTTTCAGTAAAGGCAGTATTCCAGCATTAAAACATTTTCATAAAGTCGTTTATAGTATACATTACCAGTATAGTAACTCAAGGTCTTGCACACACGAAACTTAGTGTGTGTGTGTTGTAACTCATGTTTTGTACACACGAAAGCTTAGTGTACGAAGTAACTCAAGGTTTTGTATACCCACATAATTACCTAACGTGTATTTCTTTTTTAGCATTTAGAACCCATTTTTAAAATCGTTCTAAGATACTCTCAGTTATCTCTGAATCTTTCAACACATCTGTAATATATATATTGTAAATTTGTTGGGTTTTTTTAGTGTTGCTGTAATGTTTATTTTCATACTTTCATATAAATATAGTTTCAAGCACAATGCGTCATTGGTCAGCCGTTTGTCAACAATCAGACGTCACAAGCCTACTTCATCATCTATGTATGGACATTCTCCGATGACACGAAACCGTTTCGGTGAAGGTCGCACGGCAGTGGATAATTTGGGAGGAAGATGTTTTAGTGAAGATAGCGTTTCCAAGGACACTGAAACACTGAAACGAAATTCAGATGGTAGGATGATGTATTTAAAAAGCTAGTTTTTAATTATTTTTATATCTTCCAGAGAAAATAACTGCAGCAAGGCAGCCATAAAATCCACTTGTGAACAGCAACTTTCACATACTAGTCTAAAATTGAATAGGTGGGGTGAGATGTTACCTTATTACTACAGGAGTTTACAAGTATAAAGATTAAAGATTATTTTAAGCGGTTGAAGCCATGGCATTCATTTTACTTTTAAAAATAAAGTTCAAAGAAACCCGATGTAACTCTTGCTTTTCGAAGGAAGAATTAATATTTTCTTCCCGAAAAAAAAAAATCGCCAGGATTTCATTGGATTTCTTTGGAACTTAATTGCCAAACTTTTTCTCTATCCTATACGTTTTTACTAAAAGCAAAAACTTGTATATCATCATAGTAAAGTCAATATTGCTCCTATATGAAATTCTACAAACACTTGTCTTTTTTCTTGGTTTTATCTTTAATAAAGTCACGAGATTTATGTCCAAAACGTGTGATATACTAAGAAAAGACTTTAACCAAAACACTACTTTAGTGAAATACATCTAGATTGATGCTTCTATAAACGTATATAGCTAAACATGAATATGGTTGCTTCAGGTAACCTAGTTCACCAAAGATATCTTTTTGATAACTCCATCAACTAAATCCACCTTCTTGATCATACATATCTTTGTAGCTAAACTCAGTAGAACTTGGTTAAAAGTGCATGAAATTAATGTTCAGCTGAAGGTAGATTTATCTACATCCTTAGGCTGACAATATAAATATATATATATATATAGAGAGAGATCTTATTATAACCGAAAATGGACTGAAGACAGTATATATATGTATATTCTGTCATTGGATATTTACCTATTTCATTTGATTAACTATTTATATCTAGCTTACCGTAGAGTTTGTTGTTTGTTTGTTATTAAGCACAAAGCTACAGAATTAGTTATCTGTGCTCTGCCCACCGGGGGTATCGAAATCCAGTTTCTAGCGTTATGAACCCTCTGACTTACCGCTTAGCCACCGGGGAAATAATTTTGCTGAACATCATCTGACCAAAGTTAGTCATATATTTACTTAAACTTTCGTGACCAAAAATAATGACTAGCATGTTTTGAATTTCGTGCCAAGCTACATAAGGGATGTCTTCGCTAGCCAGCACTAATTTTGAACTGATATACTTTAGAAAAGTCAGAAAGATAAAAGCACCCACCGCCAACTCTTCTAATCGAATAGTGGAATACGACACATATAACGCAACCATGGGCCTAGAACGTGGAACGTGATTTTGCGGCAACAGGAAGCGAGCTTTAAATTATCGGATTCATAGTCTGACATGTTAGCCACTAGCCCACGCCCGGCCCAGCTGAAACATCTAGTTGGAAAGTGACTGTTTACCAGATGGTAGAATATAATTGATCTTAAGTTATGATGTTGATGGAAATAGATCAGTTTTGTTTACAGTAAAACCTTCCGCTGGAATTAATTATTATTATTCACTTATTTTCTTTGTTATCACTTACTCAAGACCACCAGCTTCTAATCTTTAATTTATACATGTAGCTAAACTTTAACTCTTCAAACTATTTCCTTCCAGAGATGTGTTAATTTTTGAAAAATTTCAGTAATGTTACCTTTGTTTCTTAAGGATACTTGACTTTCTAAACGTACAGATATCATCATATTATTTTTTCAAACGAGGTCAGATATGCATGCATTGATGAAAAAGTTAGTGTTATTAGATCATCACTTAGACTTAATAATATGCTGTGAGATAAACAACTCAAGCTATAACACACAGTGAGGACACTTAGCAACTGACTAAAAGACTTAATAATATGTTGTAAAAAACAACTCTGGCTATAGCACACAGTGAGGACACTTAGCTACTGACTAGAAGACTTAATAATATGTTGTAAGAAAAACAACTTTGGCTATAGCACACAGTGAGGACACTTAGCAACTGACTAGAAGACTTAATAATATGTGGTAAGAAAAACAACTCTGACTATAGCACACAGTGAGGACACTTAGCAACTGACTAGAAGACTTCATAATACGTTGTAAAAAAACAACTCTGGCTATAGCACACAGTGAGGACATTTAGCAACTGACTAGAAGACTTAATAATATGTTGTAAGAAAAACAACTCTGACTATAGCAAAATTGAGGATAGTTAGCAACTGATTTATAATAGTATTTGCAATAACATTTTGAAGAATCGTTTTTCCTGTATTATCTGAGAATTGCTCGCTAACTTTTTGATAGATTGTAAATAAATTAACAGTTTGATTTCTAGTCTGTTTCCAAACTGTTGTTGCATGTCTAAAAACTAGTGATGGTAAAACAGAGGGAATGTATGTTGAAACTAAGGCTTCTTTAATGTTAGTCTGTTACGTGATAGAGGTGTTAGAACAAAATTTGTATACAACAACACTACTCCATGTTCACACACACACGCACTACGTGTAACGCTATTCCATCTAGATGGTCAGTGTTTTGAATAGCGATCAATGCCTCCTTACACAGCACTCATCCTTGTACCCATCACATGCACATTCTGATGATCTCACGAGGAATGAGCACCAGGAGAATAAGATCAACTCAATTTTCTAACCTGGATGTGTTTTCTCCGAGAACAGGCTCACGACGGAGCAGTTTTTGCACAAGTTTCTTTCAGAGGGGAAGAAAGGACAGTCCCCCACTCGGAAAGGTTAAAGGTAGCACCCAGCGATGTTTTTATTTAAATTGAAATAAAAAAGTTTAAATCTAAAGGACTAATAGCTGTAAATATCTACTGTTATTAAGAAACAGAAAACATATATTCTAATTTTGATAAAAGTGACCTAAGAAATAATATGTACACTTATAAGGTTGAGATGCTCTAAAAGTTTTATTCAGCTTTTCCACGACAGTATCAAGGTAGGATATCTATATATATATGTGTGTGTGTGTGTAATACTTTTAGAAATATGGTTTTTCTATATAATTGAAACTTCACTATTAAAGTTCACTTGATTTTTGTTGTTAAAAACAGTCTAATTTTATTAATTCTATTCCATTGCATCTACACTTGCTATGTAACGATGGTATACAGTGTATATGGGCATACATTAAACGTTTCTGTAGCAGTGTTGATTAAATTTTGTTGTGGTTTGATGAAAGTTTATTTTAAGACCTATTCATGTAAGAAGTTATTGTCATGATTCTTGCCTTTAGTGAATCGTTAATTTTGCCTCTAAAGTAGCTAGAAATTCCATCGTTATTTTCTGATGTTATGAATCAAACTTTTTTTAATTTTCGATAAAAAGAGCTCTTTTTTACAATATCTGAATATTAAGATTCATCGTTTGGAAATCCTATTTATATGACTCTACGAAAGTTCAATACGTTGTATTAAAAAGATTTTAGGGACTCATCACGTTGTTACCGTCCATGTCACCACGTCCTCTCATGCTCTGTCTGATGATTGTGCATCACGCCAGTCGCTCTGAAACGTAATTTCCATGTAAAAAGACTTCGTCGTAAAGCTGTCACGTCAGAAGCACACCACTCCTTCCTGGATATTTTCATAATCCACCTAGTGTATGTGCACGAATGATTCCCAGCACCCATTCCAACAGCTCAATTGCACAGAAATTCTTAGGCAACTTATCGGTATGTTTCTTATAGTATAACATGAATACTCATTTCCTTCTCCAGTTGTTTCAGGTATGCGATAGATAAACGTCAGATATGACTGGAAACATTATCTTTATGAACCCATACACTGTCAATCTCGTTTCCAGACGGAGACTTTTCTTGATTATATTCCATATGGTTGCCTGAGACTCATGGATGGCTTTTGCCACTGACCATTGTGTTTGTGGATTCTCACCTATTATAAGACGCCGCACTTCGTTTACTACTGCTAGGGTACGACTTGTTATAAGTCTCATTCTGGATGGTCCTGGTGCCCAAGTTATTCAGTATTCCTTTGTTGTCCAATGCCATTGAGTACAAGTGAGTTCGCTATCTTGGAAACTCTAAATTAGTGATCTGAACAAATATTTATGATCTGAGTGTATGGATATTTTGCGCTCGAAAGGGCTTTTACATACTTTTCATAATAACGATCAATCTTTGGTGGCATCTCATTACCTAATATCGCCAATGTCAAAATTCAATTCTGAAACATGCCTTGTACTGTGGATTTATAGTGCTTATAGTTGTCATATTACTTGCTAATTTGCATATTCAAAATCGTTTTAATACAACGTACTCAACCCTCTGTAGACAGTCACCTACTGTCAAACCAGCACTTGACATATGCCTGGTATTTGATAAAAGACGTGCCACGTGTTGGAGTGCTTTGCTTTTTAAGACACATATTTTTTAATATTATTTTACAAATATCGAAGTTGAATTAATCAGATAAAGAGCAATTAAAGGAACAAAAATCTAGTCTGCTTTCTTTACAGATGACGAAACTGAAGAACCAAAGTTGACAGTGTTGACTAAGCAGCACAAAGACGCCATTAGAGCACTTCGGAAAGTATGAAAATGTTTCTAGTATTTTGTATAGTAATAGAAAATGTAATTCATGAACATTGATTATGTACTGCTAATCTGATATAGACATGTTACTCTTTGAAAATATACTTAAATATTTACCTCATCTAGACAAAATGTAGCGTTGATTTAATGTTAAAACTGATAACATCAAGGATTTTAGAAGGATTTAAGATGTGTCATACTTGCTTCTCAGTGGTTATTGTCGCGATAGTGGCGCCACCAAGTAGTCAAGATTTGTATAAAATGGCTCATATCTTTTAATCTTTAGTACAATCATAGTAATATAGTTTTAGTAAAGTTTTCTGTAATTTCAGCAGTTCTTTGAAATTAATCTATTACTTAGATTTAGTACGTTTAACTCAACTCCCCTTCCTTGGACTCACTTAAAACACTCAAACTAGTGTTTTTATCTATTATTTTTTAAGTTAACGAAATCACAAGTTGTCGGGATATGCATGTATAGCACTATGTATTATACAGCATGTAATGATATAAGCAAATATCAATATTCTTATACATTGGTGTTATTGTTTTGATGAAAGGACAGGTTTCCCTCATCTTTATTAACTAGGTCAAAAATACATACATATGCAAATATATTATTGCAGTAATAGCATTACATTATGATGATTTGATATAAAATCATATCAACAAACATTCAACTCGAATGCTTTCATCTATATGGAAAATTTCCCATCTGAAGTTTGCTCTTCACAAATTACCCCTCCCAATGCTTTTATTTGTTTCTCAACATACAATTAAGTTGGCTTCTTTTAAGTTCAACGTCATTTAAAATAGCATAGTGATCAGAAGAATATATCTGTATTTAATTGCAGCCACTTCAAAGTCTCTAACAGCTTGTTACATAAATGGTCAATAACTATAATTGTTGAGGTCGTTGTTAGGTTAAGTCCATAGGCTAAAGATATTGAGGTATATAACTATGTTTAACATTGGCATTGTTTCTCTGGTTATGTAGTTGCTGTAAATGCCGTGATTCTATGAAGATGTTTTACATATCATTTGTACAATGGAAATGTTATGAAAATCTTAACCGCTTGGCGTGCTGCGATCGTGCCGACAACGGAAGTGTTACAGATGTAGCGCGAAGTGACGTATCTTACTAATTCTATAAACTTTAATGTCATTCCAGACAGTGACTTGTAATCAAACTTTAACACAACAATTTACAGTTAAAACTTTAGTACTGTGCTTTGGTAATCTAACTTCTATGTGTGAGGCGAGATAGAAACTAATAAACAACAACACAATTCAATCATTTGTGATAATTCAATAGAGTTACTTGTAATCAAACTTTAACACAACAATTTACAGTTAAAACTTTAGTACTGTGCTTTGGTAATCTAACTTCTATGTGTGAGGCGAGATAGAAACTAATAAACAACAACAAAATTCAATCATTTGTGATAATTCAATAGAGTTACTTGTAACCTGAATTTAATACTACGATTTATGAAACTGCACTTTGAAATCAAACTCAAGAAATATAATAGGTTGATGTGATATCGGAACATCAATAATTTGTAATGAATCTTAGTTCAGTAGTTGATGTTAGAAACATGAATACATTGGTTTCGAATCAGCCCGTTTTACCATGACTTGCTATTAACCCATTAGTATCGGTATTTAAAATAAACCCTTTGTACTTTGATTTTTATAACCCATTAGTATTGTTATTCAAAGTAATCCGTTTATTCTGTGATTTGTTATCAACCAATTAGTATTGTTATTTAAAATTAACCCTTTTAAGAGTGATCTGTTATCAACTCATCTATACAGAAATTTTCGGTCATTTGTAAACAAACCTATTACAGTGAATGGTGCTCAAAGCACGAGTGCAATCAATCTTTAATATTATATAAATTATCAATACACAAATTAGTAAGGCCTGGCATGGCCAGGTGGATAAGG